CCCTCATATCGTGTTGCTGTGTGCGCTATCCCATCCTGTCCTGTCCTGTGCCGTAATGAAAGCGAAAAAGGTGGAACCCCGACCAGTCGAGAACTCAAGAGAGAGGAAAAAAGAAAAGAGACAAGCGGGAGTTGTAAGTTGGGTAGGCAGCACACTCGCCACTCTCTTCTCTTCCCTCCCTCTCCTCTCTCGCGTTCTGCTTCCTCTCGTCTCGTCGCATTGCCCCTTCTCTCTCACGCTCGCACCCTGATCCTGACCGTTTGGTTCAGTATTGCTTTTCCCTCGCCCTCTCAACTTGCGTTCGCGGCTACTACTTCCAACAGAGAGGGAAGCTAGCCTACAACACGCAAGACGCTCCGCGCCGCCGCACAATCCACTGTCTGTCAGTCACCACACACACATACACCTGGCAGGACACCGAAAAGACAGTGAGAGGGAAGAAAAAGAAAGACTGGTCGCAGTGAAGAGCACCAACGAGTCTCGAACCCTGCAGGTGTCAAAGACGGGCACTGTACCCTTCAAATCCGAGCAGGGTGAGGGGGGCGTGGGCGCATGGAATTTCGGTGTGGGAGGGGTGCCTGCTTGTGTCTGTGTGTATGTGTGTGCTGCCAGGTGTGGTGGGTGTGGTAGGTGTTGGGAGGAGAGAAAGACAGCGTCGAGAGAGAATCGTTCTCCACCGCCCACGCCTCAAGCACCCATGTCTCCTGCCCCCCATCTCATCGTCGAGCGGATTGCAAGACACAGATCCCCGTCCCCTGGGTTGGCCCTTTTCTCTGCCCTGCCCCCGATGTGCGTCGTCGACCCTCATCCGAACATGTCCCCGGAGCGCCAGATCTTGGCGGGAACAAGAGACGTAGGAGAGAACAGGGGTGGGGGGACAGAGAAAGAGAGAGAGAGAGAGAGAGTAGCGACCGGGGCCGGGGCCCCCGAGAACAGCTAGCTAAGATAGCCGGACCGCTCTCGTGATGTCCCGTCCAACCAGACGGAATACTCCGCCGCGAGACCTTGTAGCTGGTTTCCCGTCTGACAGAACAGGCGAAAGTAGTCGTAAGAGATGGAGATAGGCGTAAGTAGACCAAATCGAGAGTGTGAGAAGAGGCGCAAGAGGCTTTGATGGGGTAATGAAACAACTGGAAGCTCTATTCCTCTTGGGAACTGATCTTCATGTCTTTTTGTGGTTTTTTTTTGTTTTGTTGTTGCCCTCTTCTGACCCTTGACATCCAGAGGCGGAGACTTTTTGACTTCCCGCGACCGTCCAACCCGCCGTACAATAATACATCATCGCCCTAAAAGGCGGAAAAGCGGGAAAGAAAGCCACCCACCCATGACCAACCCAACTCGCTCTACGCTTCTGGTAGAGGGAAGGGGGGAAACAATCGTTACCCCCGGTAAACGCCGTTGTGAAAAAAAAAAAAAACAGATAGAGGGAAGAAAAGAGTTACAGACCGCCCCAGAGACGAAGCACACACACACCACAAGAGCCACACCAGACCAGCCGCACCAACCCGTCCCCAATCATGAGATGTGATGTGCCAACAGTGCTCACAACTGGGCGTTGGAGCCCCATCCGTAGATGGCACCGTCAGTGGGTGTCGAAGGGCTGTACACTCCAGAGACATCAGCCATGGCATAGCCCTGGAACTGGTAGGGCTGGGCCGCGGTCATGAAGGGGCCCGGAGCGCTGGTGGGAGTCGTGATGTTGCCGCCGCCGGGCGTGCTGCCAACGATGACGGTTCCCGTGGGAGAAATGGGGCTGAGGTTGAGAGGACCGCCGCGAGCTTGCATCTCTCGCTGCTGCTGTTGTTGGAAGCACTGCTCGTTGGCCACCTGACTCCGTCTCATCATCTCCTCGTGAATCTGCATGTGTGGAGGAAGCTGCTGCTGATGGTGGTGGTGCTGGTGGTGGTGCTGCGAGGCCATGACGGGGCTCATGGACCCGGTCTGGGATCGCTGGCGCCTTGCGTTGCGGGAGTTTGTCGTGGCACGGCCTCCCCGGCGTCCAGACATGGCGCGGCCGGGCATGGATCGGTTGGGATAGTCGGGGTTCGGGTAGTGCGTGATGGTGGAAGAACGGGGAGGGCTGTTGCGTCTTCCCATGCCCATGGGACCGCCGCCGAGTGCGTTGGCGTTGGCGGCGGCGGCGTTGCAGGCACGGCGACCGAGGAGGCTGCGAGAGGTGCCGCCACGGTTGCCATCGCGGAAGTGCGTGGTCGGCAGAATGTCATCAAGGTACTTGGGGTTGAGGTACCACTCAGACACGCGCTTCTCGTTAGACGTGTGGCCGTCTGGTTGCGTGAAAATCTCCTTCTCTCTTCTCTGGAACGCCTAGATGAGAGTCGTCGTGTTAGCGAACAGGATCATTATGCTCAGGTAGGGGACAAAGAGAGGCTCGTCGGTTAGGCTTATGCAAGATGCAAATGCTTCACTAGCAAGGGGGGTGGAATCCAAGCATAACATGCATGGGGCCTTCTTGGGCAGGATCATGATCCTACTGGAGTGACGTGGGGCGAGCGAACAGGCAAAGACACTTACGTCGTTCATGCTGAGGTTGTGGCGGATGCTGTTCTGCCACCCATTCTTCTCGGTCCTCTGAGGCTTGTTGGTGTTGTCTCTGAACCACTTGTAGAGCTCCTGCAGAGTCATGGAGTGGTCTGGTGCGTTCTTGAGGGCTCTGTGGATGAGTTTGGCGTAAGGCGGACCCTCGCCGTTGTTGTTGGCAGCATCTGGCTGGGGGTTGGCCTTGGTAGAAGGACTCTGGCCACCGAGATCCGGGATGACATCGGGCAAGTCGCCAACGTGGAATGAGGTCGGAGAGCCGCCGTAGGGTGACCCAGGAGCGTCGGTACCCGGCGAAGATGCGTAGTGAACCCTATCGCTCTCCAGAGTTCGCTGCAAGGGCTCGGGATCGAAATGGCGCTGCTCAAAGCCGTGGGGGTAGTCGCTGTTACTGTAGTGAAGGGAGACGTTCAGATCTGTTCCGCGCAGAGTCTCTGGCGACATTGTCAAGTGGTCGTTGGCAAGCCCAAAGGCTGGATCCTGAGAACGAATGGGCAACTCGTACTGAGAGGCTTGCACTGGTGGGGGAGTCTGGGTTGACGAGGGCCAGCTTCTCGGTGAGAGAGAGGCTGGGTTGTATGCCGACTGAACGGCCTGGCCGCGGTATGAGTAGTTGTCAAATTCATCTGTAGACATGGACTGTGGCGAGGACCAGGTAGTCTGATTCATGACTGGCGACGGATATTGATGTTGGCTGATGGCAGTGAGCTGTGTGTAGTATGGTTGAGGATCTTGGACGGTGAAAGGTCGTTGCTGAAGTTGTTGTTGTTGTGGTTGCTGTTCGGGGGCCATGGTGTTGTATGTTTCCACCATGTCTGTCTTGACGGCCAAGGCGGTTGAAGACTGTGTGTTGTTGCTCTGTTGTTGATGGGTCAGGGTAGCGCGCATGTTGTGTTGAGGTGAGTTCTTTGCCGTCATGATGCGGTGAACAGTGTGACTGCGTGGAGGAGGAGGATGGGAATCAGGTAACGCTCTCTGAAACAAGGTGGGAAGAAGTTTGCGCGGAAAGGGGTTTCAAAACGAGGGAGAGATCAAGATGTCACAGACACCACTTGAAGATGATCTTGTAAGGATGAAGGAAGGGTGGGGGAGAGGAGGAGTCGAAGTTTAACAATGGTCGAGGTGAGACAACAGGTTAATGATGTTGAGCTTGATATCGAATAAAAGACCGTCTCAGGAAGGCGTCTCGAGAAAGTGAGAGGAGACACGAGAGGTTATTAATGAGGCGACTTCAACGATGTTGGTTCAAGACCGAAAAAGCACACATGGCTATTGAAGGTGCCTCCAGCAAGGGGTTGACCCCGTTGTGATTTAACAAGAGAGACAGAGAGAGAGAGAGAGAGGCCTGTCCTATCTTCCAGATGTTCCCATGTTGGTAGTAGAGCGTTGTGAAGGTAGTGCAAGGAACAGACAGACGTATGTCGCCCAATTTGGTCTTCTTGAGTACGTACAAGAAGATACGTACAGGATCTGGGATGAGCCAGCCAGAGAGGCGCAGGACCGGGGTAAGGTTGCAAAGAAGGGGGGGTGTGTGGACTGTCGATAGAACTGACATGGGTTGCAGGGGGTGTCAGCGTAACATTGGCCATGTGGATATCGGGAGAGAGAAAGAGAGGAAGAGAGTGAGTGGGAATGAGAGAGAGAGGGCAACATTTGCCAGCTCATTGCTTGGCTCTTGTTTTAGCGTTGTCTTCCCGCAGCCGCGGCGGCGCCATGTGTGCGTGTGTGCGTGTGCGTGTGTGTCTGCGTGTGCGTGTAGGTATGTATGTGTGTGTATGTCTGTCTGCTTGTTGTGTATATGCTTGTGTGCGTATATGCGTCTGTCTGAAGCTCTTCTGTATGCGCGATTGCTGGTCTGCGCGCCCTCCAGTCTCCTTTACTCTCTCTCTGCCGCCTGCGTTTCCCTCTCTGTCTTTGCCTATGTGCGTGTGTCAACTAGATGGAGGTCCCCATCCACGTCTGCGGCAACCTCTCTACTGCATGCACAGATCCGTTGCAGCCTCTATTCTCCAAAACCGGACGCAAACGGAAACAGATGGAGGCTTGGATGTGGCTTCTGTCATCAGCTCCGTCCAGGGCAAGTGCAAGAGCAAGAGTTGACCGGGATCATGGAATTTCTATTCTGAAATGCTGATTGAAGGAATGTCGGAAATGGCGTCCCCTTCTGCATCCTCATGAAGGGACCAGGTTACTAACTCTGAACTGACGGATGCCCTGTTGCCAAAGAAAAGGTGTGAGGAGTAGAAGACGGCTGGGGCTGGACTGGGCGGTACGGGGAGCCTCCAAGGGCGTTTCTTTCTTCGGATTACCTTTCTCTCCTCCTCCCTCGTCTCCATGTGGTCTCTACCCCGAAGGTAGAGCAAAAGCCGTTGGAACTAACAGCGCCACCGACCTGGTGCCCATTCGTTAAGAGCCGTCGACCCATGATCCAGGTCGTCTGCGTGCAACCATGGTTTGATAGCAGGAGCGGAACTCTGCCCCAGTGACCGCACGGGACGGCCATGGCGGCCATGACAGTCCAGGTCCATCGCCCCATACGGGACGGCGGATGGAGAGAGGGGGGAGTGTGGGAGGTCAACGGCAGGATACTGGCATGGTACACGCTCTAAGCCTGAGGCTACCTCGACACCAGGCGAGGTCGCGAGAGAGAGAGGAGGCGCGAGAGGATGAGAGATTGTTGCACACATCCACAACCAGGCCCGTGTGGGCAGCAGGTCGTGGCGGGGCATATTGTACCAGGTACAGCTCGACAAGAGATGTACAGACCGTGTACGCCTGTCATTCTCATGGTTGGAGCGAGGCCCGCCAGCCAGCTTTGACAACCAACCAGTCAATCGTCGAGCTGAGAAGAGGCATCTGGGGCAGAACAACAGCTCTTCGGAGACCAGCAGCGAGTACACCGGACGCGTGCATCGACTTTGGCGAGAAGACCAATCACACGCTGCCCTCTCCACGAGCGCTGCCTCAAAGTCCTGGCGTGTACCAGTGTGTAGGAGAGTTGCAAGGCAGGCGGAAGATTGGTCTCTTGATGCCAGCCCGCGGGCACGTAGATCATTTTCGAATTCTAGAAAGTCTATGGTGCTCCCTAACACTCCATGTTGTCGACACGGATTTAGAACAGGGAAATCATGTAGTCAAGGTGGAGATTCAATCCCGCCTATGCCGAAATGTGGCCGCTTGCTCAAGAGAGGTGTTTCGGGTTTCTTTGCCTCTCTACATCTGTGCATCACGGGGAAGACCGATCGTTCCAGGTCAGTAGTACCCAGGGACTCTGCTGCTCGTCATAGTACCCCGTCTTCCCACCGACAACGCCCAACGTCCAAGTCGGTGAAGGGGGTTGGATCGCCAGCCCAGAGATGAGAGGGTAGGCGTGGCAGGGTGGTGGGTGGATTCGTCTGCGGTGGCGTGGAGATCAGCAAGTAGCTGCAGCCATTGTACTCGGACTCTGGTCAGGATAGCTTCATACAAGTCTGCTTAGAATCATGTCAGTCGTCCGGGGCCGGCAGCACTTAGCGTCGTGGGGGCCAGGCATCTATTTCAAGTAAAGGTACAGCAACAGTCCGAAAAGGGTTGCCCTGGCGCCCCGTCCGGTGCCTTGATGCCTTGGTGCCCTGGTACCAACTACCAACAGTTGCACGAGAAGATGGAAAAGGAGGTAATTGATTAGTTGCAGACGAGAGCTATGGTCGCCTGTGTGATTGTGCGTCATCCTCTTGTCTTCCCAGGAGGTCGGCCCGCGGCCAGCGGCGGTCTGTTGCGGTCGTCGGCGGGTGTATGATCCGAACGGTGGAGGAGAAGAAAAAAGAGGAGAGAAATGTACGTGGTACCAGCGAAAGTGAGAGCGGCCGGCGAGCGAGCGAGCGGGAGAAGAAGATGAGGCGGACGGGATCTGAAGATGGAAAGCAGATACAGATCTGTCCTGACTTCTGGCCAGGCCAAAAACAAAACAACCTCCCGACACCAAACGTTGTCCCGATGTATCCGCCCACCCGGTTGATTCTGTCACATCGTGACATCGTAGATGCATCGTGACAATACGAGCGAGCCTCCTTTCCAACCCCAGCCCGATTCTGGGGACAATTACTTCCGGTAGTAGATCTGCGGAGAGGGGGGCATCATGTCAGTATGGTTGCAATCAGAGAAAATCAAACGTGGGAGTGGGACTTGTTCCTTACCTTTTTGAATTGAAAGTGCAGTTGCAGGATACCCTGCAGGGAGTATAAGATTAGCTCAACGCCATGACAAGGGTGGCTGGTGACAAGAGATATGACAGAAAAACAGGAGAATATGTCCAGAGGCGCGCGTGTAGGCGGTTGGGCAAGGGGAGGGGGGGGGGGAGGAATGGCGGAGTCGGTGGTCTGGCGGAAAGCAAAGGCTGTCTTCCCCTCGTCTCCTCGTGGACCGCCTGTCTCGGCATTGGAGAAAGGTCTCATGGAGGGTCGGTTCCTTCGACATGACGGCAGATTGGGGAAACGAGGAAAAGAGAGAAGGGTAAGGGGCACAGTTGTGCGGGCGTTGCTCTTTGCAGTTCTCCCCCCCCCTTGAGTGATTCTTGTGCTCTCCGTGCATATGCACCGCGTCGACTCCGCCACGAGCACTATGAGAAGGGAGACAGAGAGAGAGAGAAACAAGACAAGATGCAGATGAAAAAGGGCCACGTGAAGACGGTGTAGAAAACGCCACAAAACATACCTTATCGAAGGAACTTTTGAAGCCGCGATCCTTCTTCGCACTGTAATCCCACTCGCGGTCCACGATTCTGAAGGCAATGTCTTCGTATGGTGGACCTGCGATGAATCGGATGAGGCATGTATCTTCCTCCCCTGCTGCGGCAAAAGACTCCCCCCTTTTCCTGCCGTGTTCTCGAATGATTTTGAACGTGGGCGCCTTGGTCTTGTCGATGAGTTCGGGATAGAAGATGTTGAACTTGTAGCCCTGGACAACCTTTGGGGGCGGGTTGTCGTGGTCGTAATGTGTCTGGTTGTACTTGTTCCATTCGTAGCCCATCTGAACGCGGTTGAAGTATCTCGGTTTTCGTGGCCGATGCTTATCAGCCCATTGAGGTTTCGAGCCACTTGCAACGGTCTCTTCTGCCGTGAATATCTCCTCGTCCTCACCAATGCCACGCGCGACCTCGCGGTCGTATAGAGCCTTGGTAGCTTGGGAAAAGTCTTCGTTGCCCGTCTGAGCGAATCGAGCTGTTCCCGGGGGCGCGCTTGAAACAGGCACCGTCTTTGTTTCTGTCCTGCTTGGTTCAGATGACAGGTTCCTGACTGCTGCAGGGCCCGAAATAGAATCGGCATGGTTGGCTTGGTGGTGGTGGCCCAGTGCCTTTGCCTTTTCCGGATCCTGCAGCTTCAGCAGTGCGGCTTTGCTGTCGTTGATTGCTTCGGACACCTTTCTCAGCTTGGCCTTAGCCTTCCACACCAGCAGACTGCGGAGAAGCTGCTCCCAATAGTCGACATCGATATCGTCGTTGGAGCGGAGCTTTGCCTTGATCTGTGATTCAAGTGCCTCGAGCTGCTCGTACGTCTTGGGGCGCAGGATCTTGTCGACATCTTCGGATACTGTGCTCACGACCCGAGCGTCTGGACCTTGTGGTTTCAGCTTCTGCCGCCTGTCGGCACAGATGGTTTGCAACGACTTCCAGTAGTCGCGGTTGCGGTCGTTTTGCTCGAGGGTGTGGTAGGACGTGATGTCAGAATCCAGGTCTCGTAGCTGTGATTCGTCGAGCCCCTGTAGGACCTCTTCGGGAGAGGCCACATTGAGGTGTAAGTCGGCATCGTCGTCGTCGAAGACGTCCCGGTCGTCGTCGATGAAGCGCAGATTGAAGGCCAGAAGATCAATAGGCTTAGCTCGGCCTTCCCGAACTCGAATATCAGCCTTCTTCTTGGCTTGTTTCAGAACAAACTTGTCCTCATCGGCGACAAACTGTCTAGACTGCTCATCCTGCGTCATATAGCTCGAATTGTTGTTCTGACGTGGCCGCGAAGAAGGGGGAGGGTTCGAGGGTTTGGTGATGCGATTATTCGGGTCGCGTCGTGGAGAGGCTATGTCTCTGTCTCTTTCGCGATCTCTGCGGCTGGGTGATCTGCGCCCTGAGAGCATGGCTCTGCGGCCCGGGTCCATGTTTGCTGTCGTTGAGGGATTGGGGGATCGGCGACAACGGTTCTGGTGTCAGGTAGAGAGCTGTCTTTGTCGTGAAGGTCGTTAGTTGGGGTGATCTCGTCGTCGCGAGCTGAGCTGAGCTGCCTTGCGACAACAGGAAAGAAGGCCCAGGGCTTATCGGGGAACTTGCCTTACGGGGGCCAGCTCTTATCGCCATGTGACGTGCGGTTGATGCACGGGTCCGGCTGATCTCCGGGCACTGTCTCCCGTCTTGCCCGCCCCATTGGGTACCGAGCACACACCGAGATCTACCGAGAGTGCTCATACTCACCGAGCGTTGGTCCAGATTGTTCACCTTGAGCCGCACGGATAGCTGCCGAAAGCCAATCAGATTCGATCCTTACTCTCTCCGCCCCGCCATAGATTCTTGCGCCAATCGGGCGGGGCAACGGGGCCCCCCGCTAAACCAGGGCATTGGGAGCTGGGATGGCACGCTAGAGCTGATGCACGTCCAGATCTCCCGATTTCAGGAACATGATGACGCACAAGACATCGCGCCGATCGTGGACCTTTTCATTCTCCAGCTTGATCCCATCCATTTCCCCTTCCCACAGGCTGAGGAGCTTGATGGGAAGGTCAGACGAAAATTAGAACTATGCAATAATCAATCAAACAGTTCAGCTTCAGTCTTTCGACTGGAAACATCACAATATCCGTTACCTCATGCTCGCCTGTCGCGTCTTGCTCCCCAGCAACGCCCTTCCATCTCTAGCTACTTCTTACACTCGTGTTGCGATTGCTGCTACTGCTAGTTTCCCCTTTGCCTCGCGCTTTAACTCGACTTCCGCCTCGAGCTTTTCTCGACCCTGCAACTCCCGCCTCCTCTGCAGTACTCAAGAATCGAACTCGATCAACCTCATAGCAGTGAATCCTCGTCCCCATCCTCGTTACTTTACCACGATGCCGCCCAAGCAGAAGCGCAAGGCGGCGCCGGCGGCGGAATCCAGCGACTCTGGGAGAAAGAGAACCAAGACGGAGCAGAATGGCGGAGATCCCCTGCGCAAGCCGCACCCGTTCCACGAAGACGCTGAGAAGCATGGAATCGTCCTCCGCAAGTTCTACCCACACGAGATGAGCAACGACCGAGCACGCGCCTACAACGAGAACGAGCTTCCCAGACCAATTGAGGAGCTCACCTCCGCGCTGGAGCAGACTTCCAAAACGAGAAAGGCAGTCAAGACAAAGAACGCCGTCGTCCATTGGTTCAAGATGGATCTCCGGACAACGGACAACAGATCGCTGTCTCTAGCGAGCGCAAAGGCCAAGGAAGCGGGCGTTCCACTGATCGCCATGTTCATTGTCAGCCCCCAGGACTATGAAGCGCATCTCACGGCCCCCATCCGCGTCGACTTTATGCTCAGGACCCTGCATGTTCTGAGGGAGGATCTCGCCAAACTTGACATCCCGCTTTATGTCGAGACCGTTGAAAAGCGCAAAAAGATTCCCGAACGGATCGCTGAGCTCATGGATCAATGGGAGGCCAGCCACTTGTTTGCCAATATGGAGTACGAGGTGGACGAGCTTCGCCGGGAGGGGAAGATGGTCCGCATGTTTGCCGACAAGGGCCTCTCGTACGAGGTCCTGCACGATACGTGCGTCGTCCCTCCCGGACTTTTGACCAGCGGGGCAGGCAAACAGTACGCCGTTTATTCACCCTGGTTCCGGGCCTGGGTCCGGCACGTCCACGAGAACTTGGACCTTCTCGAGCTATACGATCCGCCCGCGAAGAACCCATCCAGCGCAAGGGAGAAGTACGGCAAGCTGTTTGAAACGGAGATTCCGGAGGAGATTGTGGACCGGAAGCTCGACGACGACCAGAAGAAGCGCTACCGTGCCTTCTTCCCGGCTGGCGAACATGAGGCACGAAGCCGTCTGGAGAAGTTCTGCGAGGAAAAGGTCGGCCAGTATCACAACAAACGCAACATTCCTCACGACGCCGGGACCTCCACCTTGTCAGTGCATCTTGCCAGTGGGACCATCAGTTCGAGAACATGCGTGCGGTACGCTCGGGACCGCAACAAGACCAAGAAGCTGGATGCGGGCAACGAGGGGATACGGGTATGGATCAGCGAGGTGGCATGGCGAGACTTCTACAAGCACGTCTTGGTAAATTGGCCATATGTCTGGTATGTCGGACAACGTTCCCCTTCCGTCCATAATTTGGTAAGCCTTGATCACTAACAAGTCCTAACTAGCATGAACAAGCCTTTCAAGCCCGAGTACGCAAACATCGAATGGTCCTACGATATGGACGACTTCAAAGCCTGGAAAGAGGGCAGGACCGGATTCCCCATTGTCGACGCGGCGATGCGCCAGATGGCCCATATGGGCTGGATGCATAACCGATGTCGCATGATCGTCGCCTGCTTCCTCGCAAAGGATCTCCTCATCGACTGGCGCATGGGGGAGCGAGTGTTTATGGAGACCCTCATTGATGGCGATTTCGCCTCAAACAATGGCGGCTGGGGTTTCTCTGCCAGCGTCGGCGTAGATCCCCAGCCCTACTTTCGCATTTTCAACCCACTCCTCCAGAGCGAGAAGTTTGATGCTGACGGAGACTATATCCGCAAGTGGGTGCCTGAGTTGAAGGGCATTAAGGGCAAGGCGATCCACGCTCCGTACGACCGCGGTGCGGGCGCCCAGGCGAAGAAAGCAGGCTATCCCGAGCCCATGGTTGAACACAAGGGATGTCGTGAACGAGCCCTATCGGCGTACAAGGCTGGATTGGGCAGAACGGACTTGTGAGCATTCCTTCTTGGGCCTGCGGTCGAGCAATTGGTCTGTGTAAGATAGTGTTGCAAGTCTTGTTGGAGTTGGTCTCGACGTCGAGCAAGGTCATGTTACCCCTGAGCGGATAGAAACAATACCATGGTAGTGTCTTTCGTGATCAAATACCTCACCTCGAGCATACCAAGCCAAACCAATGTGAATCTCTGGGTGAAGACAAGTCTATCTGACACCTTTGCTCGAGAACTTTATCATTCGTTCGATTGTTGTTGATGTAACATGCGTTCTTATCCATTAGCCTCTCGAAGCCAGCATTTACAGTCAAGTTTTTGGGACGCGGGCGCGGTCGATTGGGCGCTGACTATCTCGAGAAGTGCTGGCCAGCAGCAGTAATCATCTGCTTATATTAAAATACTTTCTTTTCACCACACCAATCATCCAAATGAATCCTCACATCTTCACATTAAGCATTTGCTTGGTTTATCCATCTTTCGTAACGTTCATGAATCCTCTCGCCTTTGAGACGTCAATCGAGGCCTGAAATGATGTTCGGACAAGAAGGTCCTTGGGTCGCACAGATCTACGACAGTCTCGGCAGTCATGTTCCGTCACCTGCATCTGGCATTGGCTACAGCCGTTGGTGAAGTAGCTGCCGGCGTCAACGCCAAGATGTCAAGCCGTGAACTCTCCGAACGCTCAACTTGCGGATTACCCAAGTCAACGCAAGACTCGCGACCACATAGCGTATGTTGACGACTTTCAATTCAGTTCGAATACACTCAGAATTACTGTTGCGAAACCGAATGTATGTATGTGGATGAACCAATTTCGCGAAGGCACTGGGACGCAGCGACGAGCCGTGGCGGGAGCATCCAACGGCGGGACCCGGGCCTTCTTACCCCTTACGCCTATTCTCAACTTCATTTCAGTCCAATTCATCACTGGTGGGATCGTGAATAACGATTCATCACATTTCGCGGTACCGAAAAATGCTCGAGTCGTAGTCATGTGCTGTAAAGTGCGTTCCGATGGCCCGATGCAACCTCGGAGGCAGCTACTCCGGCTCGACCGCCCTCCAAAGACTGTGACTTTTCCGACATCGCAGGTCCCGTTCTTCCACTCTTGGAAATGAAATACACTCTCATTGGTCCCACGTAGTCGCATTTCTTCGAGGTCACCTGCCCCTTCTCCGGATTGTGTGATTCCAGTGAGCCGGTCCGACGTTGTTGTCGTCCTCACTACGTGTGTACGGTACCTGCGGCTCTAGGAATGCCGGCCCCCAAGGGGAAACAGACTAGGGCCCCCTGTCTATATCATTCTCTTCACGGAGTCGTAAGCCGTTGATATAAGGCAAAACCGTAAAAGGCGACATTAAGATACCCCATGTGCGAACGGTAGCGAGTCGGGCGGGACATGCGACCCCACGGGGGCTCACAACTTTGACGGCGAAAGAGGGAAGGTGCCACGGAGTAGAGGGTTCCATGAGCCGACGAAAGCAAGAGCATGGGCTAAAGGAAGCTTGGGAGGGGATATGCTCCTCGAAAACCTGGCTTATAAGAAGACGGCCAAGGATATGTGCCGAGACATACCTGACATTTTCTTCTTCATCCAGATACCCAAGAGACGCAAAGAGTCTACTCAACTCTCACTCACCATGAAGTATCTTGTATCTTTCGGGGCCCTCATCGGCGCCGTCGCTGCACAGGCGCCATTGTACGGACAATGTGGTGGCCAGGGATGGACTGGAGCGACGACATGTGTCAGCGGCTCAGTATGCACTGCTACGAACCAATGGTACAGCCAGTGTCTCCCCGGAACGGCCGCGCCTTCGGTTACGACGACTCTTGTCACGAAGACAACTTCCACAGCAAAGTCCACCGCCACGGCGACCTCTCCTCCTGCCGACTCTCTCGGCTGGAAGTGGTTCGGTGTCAATGAGGCTGGTGGTGAATTCGGAGAGAAGACGCTGCCTGGCACATGGGGCACCGAGTTCATCTTCCCCGATCCGTCTACCATTACTGTGAGATTCTGAGAAATACACGTGAGAAGTGGCACATGATTCTAATGGCTAGCTAGACTCTTCGAGGCCAAGGATACAACACATTCCGCGTCCAGTTCAAGATGGAGCGCATGACTCCCAACTCTCTGACGGCAGGCTTCAACACCGCATATCTGGCAAACCTCACAACCGTTGTCAATCATATCACCTCAAGCGGAGGCTGGGCTGTGTTAGACCCCCACAACTACGGACGATTCTACGACAACATTATCACTGATACTGGTGCTTTCCAAACGTGGTGGAAGAACTTTGCCACCCAGTTCAAGAACAACGATCACGTTATCTTCGATACCAACAACGAGTATAACACCATGGACCAGACGCTTGTGCTCAACCTGAACCAGGCCGCAATCAACGGTATCCGTGCGGCAGGAGCAACCCAGTACATTTTCGTCGAAGGGAACCAGTGGTCCGGTGCCTGGTCGTGGGTCACTGTGAATGATAACATGAAGGCCCTCACCGACCCTCTGAACAAGATCGTCTACGAAATGCACCAGTACCTCGACTCAGACAGCTCTGGCACGTCAACAGCGTGTGTATCAACTACTATCGGCGTCGAAAGAGTCACTGCTGCCACGAATTGGCTGCGTCAGAACGGCAAGATCGGTATCTTGGGCGAGTTCGCGGGCGGAGCCAACTCCCAGTGCCAGACCGCCATCAAGGGCATGCTCGACTACCTCAAGGCCAATTCTGACGTCTGGAAGGGAGGTCTCTGGTGGGCTGCCGGCCCATGGTGGGGTGATTATATCTACAGTTTCGAGCCTCCCTCCGGCACAGGTTACACGTACTACAACTCCTTGTTGAAGGGGTATGTTGCGTGAGGCGGTTGGAGATGCGGCACAGCCTTGCGTGTTATGTAACTCAGAGAAGGCGCTTTGAGAACGTCTTGTATGGCTGGAAGGTCATGCCTATACCTGGAATTCGCTGTACATATTCATTTCGTACATATTATTCGATTCTCACCCATACACGACAAGCGTCAACTTGAAGCTTGATTATCAGCCACGAGGAGTGCCCTCATAAAGAAGAGATTCAAAAGATATGAGTTGTGATGTTGAAGACTTCGATGCGGTATGCTTATACCATCACCGCCAGCAGCATCGGGCCTCTGGCTAAGGAGCCGGTCATTCGGCCCCACCCATACCGGGAAAAGGGGGTCGGCTCCGGACCAACCCGGCATGGACCTTTCATAATGATTTCCTGCATTACGTGTACCTCCATCAGTATTGAGACACGACGCAATTTGATGTCGTGTTTCAATCAGATTGTCGAGACTTCCATCTGATCGTTCAGACTTTCATCTCAATACCAAGACTCCAATCTCATCGTCGAGATCAAACACATCAGAATAGACAGGAAGTAATGCGCTGCCTTGTCAACTCGCGGTCCCTTCACCAGACAGAGGCAATTAGATACAAAACTGATTTGCCTCTCAACGCATCCTGAGGGGCTGCTCCTAGTATCATTTTGACTATCATCGCTACCTTACATGCAATCTTTATCTCAATCTCTATCTTGATCTCTACATGTATTATTGCCACCATCTCTACCATCACTTGTGTTCGCTTTTCCTCTGAGTGTAATCCCGATATCATATGCTTAAAATGCCACAGTAGACGTTAATAGTGAGGTTATTGGCAATGATGAAGGGAGAGGTCTGTTGTGTATCAGCCTGTGGGTGTCTTGTGAGGAGAACGAATACTTGGAGACTCCAGACCCCAAGCAAGCCTTTTCGATTTTCCAACGACAGTCCTCAGACAAATATCTTCGTAGACGCTCGGTCTCAACCCAGCCCATCTATGGCGTCCCGCCAAATGCCCGTGGACATGGTCGGCACGGTATTCAGGCACCCCTAACGTGACTAGCGCGCCACGTTCGCGCCACGCTGAAAGACACGGAGGGCTCATATCCAATGGGCAACAGCGCAATGAAGCCTCCTTGTGTCGAGATTATCTATTGGGAGAGTTTGATATCCCTGGACTTGAACACAAGCGTTCTTACTTTCCGCTTCAAGCTGTAGCTTCCATTATCGTAAGCCAGCCCTGCGACAAAATTAGACATGGCGTTCGACTCGGGATAGGCATGAAATTCGTGCACACATGAATCAAATCCAGGAATTCTTGATAAATTCGCGATGCTCTGCATAGATAATTGACATGGAAATCTCTAGAAACATCCGATTCTTCGGTAGCATTCACGTTGAAGGCTCGCTCACACTCCCGTCGTCAACCATGGCGCCCACATGCATCTACGCTGACCACCCTTATTCTCTAATACCCACGCCAACGTACCAAAACTCGACCAGTGAAAAAAATGTTACCGAGGTTTGTCTTCTGGAGTGAAGCACGAGAACTGGACTGGTAGCTAACTCAATCAGCCCGACATGTTCACTCGCATCGCCTCTGAGATGGCGCTCGTCCACAACATGATAATACGGGGCCTCAACTCAATTTACCTCCAGGCACCACACGTCAAGGCATCTGAGTCGAAATCTTTTCTGCAGTACATCCTAGCCTGGTATAGTCTGCTGCACGTCCACCACTCCGGCGAGGAAGAGAAGTTCTTCCCGACTATCGACGAGCTGTCAGGCCAGAAGGGGCTAATGGATGGCAACATCGCGCAACACAAGGAGTTTCATAATTCTTTGGCAAGCTTCAAGCAATACGTCGATACTTGTATTTCCAGGAAGGATGAGCTGGACAGTGCAAAGCTTGTGACGTTGATCGATGGCTTCGGCGATGTGATGACGAAGCATCTTCGTGATGAGATCCCGAGTATACTGGAGCTCAGAGTATTTGGTGCGGATAAGATGGCTTCGTTGGAGAAGACTTTTGAGGAGGAAGGAGAGAAAAGCATGGTAAGTTTTGTCTACTCAAAAGAGCATTCCATGGAATTTAGCTGACGTTTACATCTCCGACTCGTAGAAAGCTCTCGGCTTGATCAAAGGCTTGCCATTTTGCTTATCGAATCACGACATTGCTTTTGAAGGCGGTCAATGGGCTGATTGGCCTCCTGCACCACCAGTCGTCAAACTCGTCTGCAGGCACGTCACTTATCGCTTCAAAAAGAAGTGCTGGAAGTTTTCGGCATGTGACAAGATGGGAAATCTCAAGCCACTGTATGCCGTTGCTCGTGAGGATACCAAGATTGGGCCGACGGAGTAGATCACCATTAACCCAGAACATAGTCGTGAAGAGATAATTCTCATCTTCTCTAATCGTAGTCTACATTTACGATTGAAGTCTTCTTAATCGCCGCAAAGATTAATCGGGGACATCCAAAATTCACACTGTTGGGTCACGGGTGGGACTTTTCAATCTCTAGACTCTATCTTTGAGAGAAGAACTTGGTGCTGGTACTTCACCAGGGAATTTCCTGACCGGTAATGACGTTGATGAACTTGCCCGACGTACTTTCGCGGGTTGCGTTATCAATCTATCAATATCTCAGTCAGCCAACTTGAGTCCCAGCGACTTTTAGAGAACCTAGAAGAGATTGGGACAGCTCACCAAGTCTATGGTCTTCGAAGTACTCTCCTCAATCGTATGCGGTGCTTCTTTGAGTCCCACGATGCGCGCACCGATGTTACCCATCTCTGTTTGAACATGTCTACGTCTCAGGTCAGCATATTTTGTCGACATCCTTTAGCCTCAGAAACTACTTACCCAGGATGAATGGCAAGTGCTACCAGCGAAGGGTTGCCCGCATGGATAGCTCTGTTATGAACGACATGTGAGCGACTTAATCTCGGAGCTCGTACACCATCCGACTGTGCATAATCACTTACACAGTGAACCAATCCTGAGCGGCCTTGGACACACCGTAAGCACCGGCATGAAATGCCATGTACTTCTCGCAGTTGGTGATGGAGCCAGCACCACTCGAAACCGAAACCCACTTCGGAGAACTAGACTTGTCAAGAAGCGACTTGAAAGCCTGGAAGAGACGAATGGGTCCCAGAGTATTGACCTGCAGAGTGTACTCTACCGTCTCGATCTCGGCGGTGTCCAGCTTTCTGGGTGGCATCGGGCCCATGCCAGCGTTAGCAATGATGAGGTCTACATGCTTGATTCCAGCTGCTTCGACATCCTTGACCGCTTGGAGAGGATCGGTGGGTGAAATGCTATCGATACTAATGAGGAGGAGCCGGGAGCCCTCTGCCTTGGGAAGTTTGTCCAGGTCTTGGGATGCTTGAGCTTTGGTGTCTCGCACGCTACCGACGACCGTATGATTCGTCCGAGCGAGGTACTTTTCCAGAAGTCCCTTGCCAATACCTAGCGCGCCATTAGACTCGAGACGTGAAGATTTCCAACTGGTTCAAGAGTTGACAAAGAGGACCCACCTTTGTTGACTCCGGTGATGAGCACAACAGTTGGTGTAGACATCTTCTGATACTTTTTGAAATTTCAGAAAGTTCCGAGAGTTCAATTTGAAGCAAAGAGTAATCGGACTGGAAGTTACGAGACAGGAGGCAAGACGGGTGTTTGGTACCTATGTATGCAGTCTATGATCCGATCTTGTGACGATAGAAACTGTTGCAATGCCTTTATAGATTCTTGAACTACTTACAAACTATCCGAAGCCACTGAGACAAGAAAACCCGTCTAGTCTTTTCTTGGCCAGGTGTTGTTCGCTTTCAGAATAAATTGCTGCCTAACGTAAATCGCAGTGAGGGGTTAACTGCATGTGCTGGTTAAAAAATGCGGCGCCAGAAACTTGCTGCCTGTTTATCTGGAAAGACATCCGAGCCAGTCGTAGTAAGAAAACCTGCAAATGATGCGGGCCCAAAAACGGTTCACTTTACTGTTGGCGCATGACCGTGGAGAAAAGCTGCATATGCGGTTGGAACGAGAGTCCGGCTCGCGGCCATGATCTTGGTCTAGTGGCTTAGTGATGTTCAACAATGCGAGCCAATGCTAGAGCTTATATCTCTCGATCAACCAATCGCAATCACTTGATAGAGCTAAAGAAGCCCAATTTCTAAACTTCTGCCTGCCGTGTGTGGAACTTGAGAAGCTTGATTTCACATAGGCAACGATTTTGGTGTATTACTCTCGGGCTGAACCTTTGCGGCATTGATCTCATCATCACATCATCCAATCCCGAGGTGGATGTTGCGGGGGTTTGATAATTGCAAATGATTTGTATCATTTAGTATTTTACATGATAACCATTCGATGGAACCAAGAAGTCGTGCTACCTTATGCAACCTTTCACGACCTCATGTCACTGCGCTTCCAATGCCTTGTAAATGGCCCTGATGTAAGACTTCGCGGCGTTGTTTCCCAACCCCGTCATGGACAGCTTGTTCATCACGTATGCAAAGGTGAGTTTTCTGTCTAGATCCATAAGGACGAATGATCCACCGAGGCCTGCCCAGAAGCAAATTCGTCCGTTGGGCAGGAAATCAGCAACTGCTGTGCCACCTTCACCCGCAATGCCGAAGCCAACACCGAAACGCATAGGCACGCCCATGACAAGATCAATCCCGTTGGATTGTTGCTCGAATATGAGGTCGATGGTGTCTTGTGAGAGAAAACGTTTGCTATCGACGATGCCGCCGAGGCTAATGATCGAGAGGATCCGCGTGAGCGCGTGGGCATTGGCATGCCCGCTCCCGGCGAGGATGTCACCCTGACGCCAGGTAGGGCCGTTAGCGAAGTCCGAGGGAAAGGGCATGGGGTTCATGGTCTTGAACGTGATGGACCCCGGCTGGGGGCCCATGCCAGGACTGAGGGGAGGCATAGGCGCGGAAATAACATCCGTCGTCCGGGGGAGCTCTTTGTCGGAAACGCCAAAGTGGAAGTCTGCGCCCAGTGGCTTCACGATCTCTTCCATAATGAAGTCTCTTAGCGTTGTGCCTGTCGCGCGACGGACGATGGCTGCTAGTAAATGGCCAAAAGTAAAAGAGTGATATCCAGACGCTGTCCCAGGCTCCCACCACGGCGCCTGCGTAGCTAGCTTTGCCGCAGCGGCGTCAAGGTCGGAGATGTCTTCGAAAGAGAGCGGTCCATCGGCGTCCCAGCCAGAGACCCCTGACGTGTGAGAGAGGATGTGGCGGATCTCGATATTTTCTTTGCCATTGGCGGCGAACCCAGGCCAATGCTTGGAGACCTTGTCGTTGATGGAGAGGACTTTGCGGTCAACGAGAATGAGGATGGCGAGACTGAGGACGGTTTTCGTGGAGGAGAAGATAGTAACAAGGGTGTCTTCGGTCCATGGTGTGGTGCGCTCCCTGTCCGTATGACCACCCCACAGGTTTATAACATCGCTGCCATCAATGTTGACAGCAATGGCGGCGCCGACTTCTTCCCCAGAAAAGATATTGTCCTGGAGTTGCTTGCGCACCTCTTGGAATTTAGGGTGACAAGTGCCGTGTGTTTGTATTTGTGTTTGTGTCATGATCACGAAAATGTTGACCAGGAATAAGCACTAGACCTATAGTATGAGTGGTAGGGGTTGAAGCTGATTGAAGGATTGATGATGAAGACTGAGTCTACAAAACTCACTGGGCATGCGGCGATATACTCTCATTATATAGATGATCAATATCCAAACGATGCCCACATTATCGGTGATTATTCACTCCGAGCCATCACGGCTTTAGATGCAGGCTGACAAAGTGTAGGCCTTCGTTCCGCCTCGAGGCGTCTCGCCGTGCGCGTTGTCGCTTTCACAGTGCATCGTCGGCAGCTACCCCCGCCGACTCGCCGGCGGTCGGAGCGGCGCCTAGTCGGTACTTCACCCACCGACTCGCCGGGGTATATCTGAGTCCAGGCAGCACCTGGGCAGTGATGCAGGCCAGCGGCGCTTCTTAGCGCTCTCGTTGCCGTCGTCCCGCTGCTTACTGTCGGCGCAGGCCATCCGGACAACGCTCAACTTCCGAGGTGCCCCGGAATCATCCAAGTCTGGAAGTTTTTTGGCTAGTTTAAGGAGCATCATACGAAGCGGATACAGATAAGCGTCCAGAATTCTCTAGCCAAAGGTGCATGTAAGCTTGCGGCACAATTGACCTAGCACCAGAATAAAAGTATAATTACCGTATCGTGTAATTCCCGTCCCCCTCGACTATTCTTTTCTTTTGTTGAAAGAAACACAAAACAAAAATCCTACTTAGTAATAATAGTAAATAAAGACTCCATGTAAAACTTTCTACTACAATAATGACGCTGTTTTCAGATTATAGGCCTAAAATGCATATTAGAACTGTTCTGTGTCGAATTTATAAGTATTTTGGTGTTCTGTTCGATGATCTCGATCGCACAAAATAGGAGACGTGCGTCTGCGGTCATCTATTCGCTAGTCGGGCATGTAAGGGACGGTGCAACCACATCTGTCTACTTTCGTTGGCCAGTTCTGAAGGCCAACAAACGCCACATTCCTATGGCAGGCTTTCCACCACACATAATTGCTTTTCACGAGTTAATGAATACCTGATGTTCCTTGCTACAAATTAGATTAGAAAACTACCTGTACCCTGCTCAGGATGCATATTCGCATGGGATAGGTCAGGCATATTCTACTTGTCATAATGGCTTCAACTATCCGTGGTCTTACCGCATGTTACGTAACCTTGGTTATATAATCACCGAGGTCCACACTTGCCTATACCCTCTATTTTAGAGCGAGTCTCGTACTTATTTCTTATTTTTAATAAATAACCATTCTCTATATTTAATATTAATACCCCTATTATAATTATATAATAGTTATAAACCTAGCTCTAATTTAAACCCCTATACTTCTATTAAAAAGTTACTTTTTAAGGGCTATAATTTATTATACTCTTTTTATACTTAATTTTAACCCTATTATACTTATAAAACTTATTCTTAAGTAATAATATTTTTAAAAGACTTTTAATATAGTTAGGTATAAACTTAACTATTAATAAAATTAGTTAAAGTAGTACTTCGCTTTACGAGTTAAGGCCGCTCGAAAGATATTTAAAACTTACTAAACTTAAATAATATTAAATCCTTTTAAATCCCTTACTATTTACTAAGTTAATTTTATTTATTAAAGAATATATTAAGATACGAAATATTACTTAAAAATAAGCTTATTAAGTAGCTATAACTAAATATAACTAATAACTCGATTCTTATATTTAATAATAAGTATTAGAGGACGAGGCTAGGGACGAACTAGTAAAATAAAATAGCTTTATAAAATAACTAATTCTTTTACGAAGCCTAAGCTAGTTATAATTAATTAAGTATGCTTTTTAAAAAATATACCTCTTTTATTTAATAAACGGCCTCTAAAACGATCTCTTAGTTATAAAAAGAGAGATTATATAAATTTATAAATCGTTAAATTATTAACTCCATTACTTAAAAATCTTAAAAATATAAAAAAACTAATCGATTTATTTAACTACTCTTTTTATATAATAATTTAGGTTCTTAAATAAAAATACGCTCTAAGTAACTTAAGCTCGCTTATAATTATTTAAAAAGAATTTAACGTAATTATAAATAAAGTAAACTTTAATATTAATCTTATTATTTAAATTAAGGACTTTTATTTTATTTACTATTAAGTAATATAGCTTTAGCTACTTAAAATTTAAGGATTCTTATTTTTAAAACTTTTTTATATAATTATTTAATATTTTATTTTAAATTAGTTTAATTAAGAACTTATTAATATTATAAAAATAGAATAAAGGGGTAAAGTAATACTTAATATAGGCTATTATATTAAAATATTTAATAACTTTTTATATAAAGAGGAGTATATAATAAAAATTATAAATAAAACTTTATAATTTTCGTAATATTAATAAGTCGTTTAAACTAAATAGAATAAAATAAAACCTAACTCGTTTACGGAGTACTTATATAATAAGTCTTATTATTAAAAACTAATTAAGTACGTAAAAATAGAGTTTATTTTTATTAAAAAAAAGTAAGAATATATTTAATTAAATATACCTAAAGTTAGTAAGATAATTACCTATTTAAATATAGATAAATATATTAATTTTTGTACTAACCTTGTTTAAAAAGGTTAGATTTGAGCGAGGGCTCTTAGTAAATTTAATAATAATACTCGAAAGAGAGGTAAAAGACTAAATAGGCCTAATAAATTAATAAAAAAGTAGGATTTTAAAGGGTTTTACTCTTTAAACGTTATAACTATAATTATTAACGTCGCTCTACTCCTAGAATTAGACCTAATAATTAGTAAAAATACTAATCCTATTATTTTCTTAATTCCTTTTTTAGGCTTATATTTACTTTTAAAGTATATAGTTATAAATAACTATAGTACTATCTACTTAGTTAATAACTAGTTACTTTTAGAGCGAGGATTAATTTAATAATATAATAGGATTAAGAATATAAATTCTAAGACGGCGTCTTATTTTATACTAGCTCGGGGGACGAGGATTATTTAAAATACCCTTATAAAAACGAGGGGACTAAGAACTAAAAATCTAACTTTTTAAAATATTAGGTTTATTAAGAACTTCTATATTAATATTATATTAAAAGCCTTATTTTAAAAAATAGGTATATAATATTCTAGTTTTAATTATATTCTTTGTTTCGGTAACTAGTTTAAAAATATCGTAGTTAAGTAGCTTATTAAGAAAGTTAACTTAGTTTTTTAAAATATAAGCCCTATTTATCCTATTCTCTATTTAAGCCTCTCCTTATTAATAAATATAATTTTTATTTGTAATTAATAAATACCTCGTTCTTTATATTAAATAAGAAATAACTAAATAAATTTTACGTAGTTTTAATACTTTTAATTTAAATACTTCGCACTAATAATATTAAAAAGCTCGTATTAACTATTTAGGAGTAAGGATTAAAAACTAAGCTATTTAAAATACTAATATTATATAATTACTTATATAAAAAGTTATTTCTAAACGAACTTTAAAATAAAAGGTAATAAAATTATATTTTAAAGTCTCGTAAAACCTCTTTAACTATTTACTTATTTTTAAACAAAATAAATAGTTAATACTAATTAAAAATAAATACTTAAATAAAATTTTTATTTTCTTAAAAGTTTTAAAAACCTATAATATAATATTTAAAATTTTATTTTTTAAACAATAAGTACGTACTTAAAAAGGTCTAGCTATTTATAAAATTAAATAAAACGTAGAATACATAATAATCATAATTAATAATAAGACTTATTTTTAAATATAAATAAAAGAGCTAGGAATAACCCCTTTATATATAAAAAGCTAAATAGAAGAGGGGTAAGCTAATTAAGAAATTATTAATAAAGTAATTAATATAATATCTACTACTAGCTTATTATATAAACTATAAATAAAAGCTATATTAATAATAGCTTATTTATATAATATTAACCTAAAATAACGTATTAACTAGCTCTTACTAATTTAAATTAAAAAATTTAGTTTAGCTATTATTTTAAGTAGTAATAATTAATAAATATACTAAGGTTCGCCCGATTTACGTCCTTATTAAGGGTAGACGTACGTATATAATTACTAAGTATACTTTTTTAGGGACTATAAAAAAATTAATAAGAGATATTTTAAAATAAAATAGAGGGTATATTAAGTACTTTATAGGTTATATAATAAATACTTATAATTTATATAAAATTTAAATCCTCTCGTTTTTAAAAATTATTACTATATAAAATATAATATTTAATAAGACCGTATTTTATTTAAAAACGACGTAAAAGCCGCAATTTAATTACCTAAATTAAGGATTATAATAAATAAAATTTAATAATTACTTATAATTATTAATCCCGAGCTATAATTACTTAGAGTTATAAATAAAGAAAAAGCCTTATTAATAATTAACTAGGAGTACTTATTATTATTTATACCTACTTTATAAAAAAACTAGGCTATAAAAAGCTTAGTTTATTTTTAAATAAACAAGTAGGTAGTTATTTATCCCTAAGCTTATTTTTAATTTTTAAAGTCTAAAACTAAGTATAACCCTTACGTAGCTAATTAAAGTTATAAACGAGGTTATAAGAAGCTAATTCTTTTATTAAGAGGATTAAGGATATAATATATATATAAATAAAAATATTACTCTTATAAGCTTTTATAAAGAGGGCTTTTTACTTATTTAAACCCCGATAATCCTATTTAGTTAACGAGCCTATATTAAGAAATAAAAGAAGTAAACAATTTAAATAAAAATTCTAAAGTAACCGATTTTAATAATTATAAGGATAATAAGTATAAATAAAGCTAGAGGCTAAAAATTAGTTACTAAAAATAGTTATTTAAAACCTAAATTATAGGGAATTTTAGGTAATATTTACTCTCTTTTATATAGAGCAAAACTAGGATACCTTTTTAATATATATATATAATTAATAAAAGCGATTAATAAAACGACTTAGGGTATATTAAACGCTCTATTACTACGTTT